GACTTTTTTTGCATTTCACGAATGGAACTCATTCGTAATCTACCTATTTTTACGCAAAATTTTGAAAACTCCTTGGGATGTATGATAAATCTTTAGGAAATCCCGGAATTCCTTGGGAAGTCCGGGTAGTCTCTGGGAATTCCTCAGGTAGTCCCAGGAATTCCAGGTAGTCTTTGGGAATTCCTAGGAATTCCTTGGGAAGTCCCAGGAATTCCGGGTAGTCTTTAGGTAGTCCCAGGAATTCCGGGTAGTCTTTGGGAATTCCTAGGAATTCCTTGGGAAGTCCCAGGAATTCCGGGTAGTCTTTAGGTAGTCCCAGGAATTCCGGGTAGTCTTTAGGAATTCCTAGGAATTCCTTGGGTAGTCCCAGGAATTCCGGGAATTCTTTCAATAAAGGAAGTCTAGTGTACCCAATTTCAGCCCGTGATTTACCCCTCGGATGTACCAATGAATGATTATTATGCTGAATTATGGTAAGTTAAGTTATGGTCAAGTTAATGGAAAGTTAGTGTCGATTTAACATGAGTTATTGTCGTTAATGTTGACGTAATGTTAAGTTGATGAAATGTCAAACAGAAAGTGAGAGTAAGATGTATCAGTAAGTTCTTAAAATTAATATCTGATACGTATCTGAAACAACAACATAACTTTCCAGGATTTCAAATGGAAATTTTATAGTATAACACAATGAACAGGCTGGCAAGTATTCTTGTGGTCGCCTGGTATGATAGCAATATCCTATTAGCATTCTAAAAACATCAATATTTAATACTGTTGGTAATTTTCGAAAATATTCTACATTTTCCGAGACATTTACTTCATTATCAGCATTAGCCACAAACGAGGTCACAAATTAACATTCATATTTCATTTACATTATCATCATCATCATCTACCACATTGTATGTATATCAACCTAACTTCAGACAGTTAGATCATGATTCATAATAATAATTATGCATTTTATTTAAACATACCTCACTGTCTCTCAAATTCGATTGGATATTTTCTTTATCGCTATGAGTATCAGCTCCATCAGTTTTTTCTTGAACCTTTAAATGAAAAATACAAATAATATACAGTGTGTGCGATTTCAACCCGCAACTCCTTTATAATTTGGAAAACGTCGGCCGAGTTTCAAAAACAAAAACTCCATAATATAGTAGTCAACGAGATTTCTTCGAAAATATGGACAATTTTTTTCGAAAAAAGCTGAAATACCCCCATAAAAAAATTTTAACGCAATATCTCATATAGGGTGGCAAACTTTGATATATTTGATGCGAGATTTGATGTTTCCATTCACACTATATCAAAATCTAAGGAGTTGATTGAATCGGTGTCAACCGAAAATTGATAAAATTGAAGTTGAAAATTTTTTTTGTAATGATCCATATCCATTTTCCTGGAAGGAAATTTAAATAATAGTAACTAGTTGGAAGAAATATTCTCCGTGCATATAAATATTCATTGTCATCTCAAATTTCCTCGCAAATTTCCCTTCAATTTCAGAGAGTATTTGGCTGTCATTCTATTTTTATCATAATCGACAGCTAATTATCAATCGAGACGATTTGCGAAGTTATTGTCTGGTGGAGTGAGTGAAAAACGGTTTACTGGAGTTTTCAAAATGGTGAACCACAACTTCTAGTTTTATTGATTTTTGGTTGACCTAGAAACATCTACCTGTAGAACTTGCAAAGATGAAACTTCGTATCTAAGTATTCTTCACTGAATGACCATCTCACCGGTTATATAACTCCTTAGATTTTATTACAGGGTGAATCGAAAAAAAGCGTGAATTACGAGGTGAATTCTGAAATTTGCCATTGTATATCTAACACCCTATATAAGGTTTCACGTTAAAATTTTGTATGGAGGTATGAGGTATTTTTGTTATGCCTGAATCGGATAGACAAGACACTGATTCGAAAAAAAATCCTAATAATCGTTTTTGAAATTTTGACCCCTTCAACAAACAAGAGTAGGTAGTAGGATTTCTCCAAATTTTCGAATAGAACTCGTTGATTATGGATTTTTTGTTTTTGAAAATCAGTTGACGGGTTCCAAATTAGGAGGGTGGAGATTAAATCGCACACACTGTATGCAACCATTGCTTCATACTCGGCCTTATACATTCAATTATTGAAATTATTTCCTACTGAATGCAAATCGTGAAAATGAAACTGTTTCCTCGAAATTATTTTTCATTACAATAAAAATAAATAAAGGGAGTTACCTACATTATACAGGGTGTTTGGTACACCCTCCTTTTCTCCTTTGGTTTTCTAGCCAATACCTGGTTTGATTGGGTTATTTCAAACGATTAGGAATATATACACGATCGAAGTTTCCATAAGCTTAATGGGTGTGACGGCGCAATTTCGAATCTTTTTTCTCTGTCATACTCATTGAGCTTATGGAAACTTCTAACGCGAATTTCTTCGTAATCCTTTGAAAAAACCCAATCAAACCTGGTATTGTTGAATTCGTTTTACGTTATAATAATCTCTAACCGATTATGGAATGAAATATAGGGTGTTCCATTTGAAAATCGAAAATTGATGTCATTTCCATAAAAACCGGAAGATGAAAAAAATCCAAAAATGTGAGCATATTCATTCCAAATTTAATGAGTCAGTGTCACCCGGTATACTCTTATACACAGTGTTACACTCTTCGAGAAATCATCGCTTATAAATTCGAAGTTGGATATATTACAAAAATAGTTTTTTTTTATTCTAATAGGAGCCCATAAGAACCCAAAACATGTTTTTCACATTTAGATCCCATTACGTGTTCAATATGGATGATATACGTTTCCAAATTTATAAGAAAAAAGAGAAAATCAGGTATAATGTTTGAAAAACGATAATATCTCGAAATTCATAACACTTTGTATAATAGAATATATGGTAAAATAATATGTTCCAAATGTTCTCAGATATAGGTCGGTGAACCAAACACCCTGTATAGTCCTCAACCACAGAATAATTTCAATTCAGTTTGCCTGGAAAGAGGATATTTAAGATTTATTTAATTCAGATGAAGTATTTTATTTTTCCAATTCATGTGCATGAAGATTTTCCATAAGAGAGATAGAAGTAATATGGTGTGCACTAGCTGGTGATAAATAGGTTGATAACATATCAGAAAACCCGAAGAAAACCACAACTTGACCACAGTCAAAACCGCAGGGTTCTCAAGATATTGGAAGTTTTATATTAAATTCAATTCCTATTTTCATGTTTCAAACAAATAAGCGCTAATAAGGATCGTTTCATGTTAATAATTTTTTTCGATAAATATCACTAAATAGCAGTTGTTACAATCGTAATCGGCATACTTTTGATACCAGTCATTTACGAAGGGTCCAAATCGGAGAACATTTTTTTTAGACCGTGAATGACTGCTATGGAAATCCTAATATTTATTGAAAATAAGAATTAACATGGGGTTTTTACTGAGATCAAGTTGCGGTACTCTGATAGGTTATATGAACTTGTTTATCACCAGATGTCACCAGCTAGAGGATGATCCATGGTTTACCAGACACCCTGTATATTTTCTGCAATAAATTCACTATTCATGCACAACATTCTAGTTGAAATGAGTAGAATTCTTTTCAACATTGAATAATGAATAGACACAAACCTAGTCCAGAACCTAGTAATGACATCACAATACATTCCTTGATATACATTTCCTCATACATTTCCATTCATACATAGGTACCTAGTACCTACTTAAAATAGCAAATGAATACTTATAAATTCAACCATGCAAAGTTCATCTTCCTTCAACAAATAAAATAGGTCTGTAGGTAGAGGTATTATTTCAAGAACAGTTATTATTATTGTCAAAAATAAATATGTAGGTATAGTCATGATTATGAAGGATATAGTACAAGCGACCTAGTAGGAAATGACCTAGTCGAGGACCGTAGAACAAAACAAAAATAATGTGTATTAAGTTCATAATAGGTTTATTATTACACCTTATAAACCACGAATATAATTTATAGTTTACTCACATTTTCTGCATCACCAGCTACACCACTTCGTTTTCTCAAGTTCTCTGACATTATACTATTATGACAGAAATCTCACTGAATTTATTACTAACGAAAAACGAACATATACAAAATAATGGATTTGTATAATCAAATTACAAACTGGTTGATTATTACCGAAAGATCAATACATTTATCAAACCTGAAATGTTTACGCCACCTATAAAATAGAACGTTGAGAAGAGATTAATTATATTTGACCTGGAATTATTCGCAGGATACAATATAATGACTTCCAACTCATTAATGAAGTTAAAATACAAGAAAATTCAGTATTTTAAAGAATTTATCCCGGAAAACAAGTACCAAAGGCAATGCAACAACATTAATAACATTACTGACAGCACACTGACAGTACTGATTACTGAAGTTCATTGCTGAATACTGGCTCTACTGACGTACTGACAGATTGACTGACAGTGTCAGAAAAGAATGACAGGTAAAAACTAGAAAGAGACACAAAGCTACTGTTTGTCTGTTTGCACCTGATGTTTTTATCTTTGTTTATCATGTGTAATTGATCAAGGATAGATTTACATTGACCAATGTCAATTGTCGTTTGTCACTATCACTTGTGTAATTGTCAGCTGAAAAATGACAATTGACAAAGCAGAAAGCAGTAAAAGCAGACAAAACAAACGTTCATAGATGTCAATTTTGTCATGTTGATGTTTGATTTTGATTGTTTCTTGTTTCTATTTCTGATTTTCTGAAAATAATCTAACGATAAACTATAATATAGCGATAGCTAAAGTCATAAAAAAACAATTTATTGTATTTGATAAACGCTTGATTATGTTCAGCCTAGTTGGAAGAACCTGCTATTAATGTGAACTCAACAAAGAGCTTTCTGATGGATATGACTAGTAGTGAAAACGTTATATAAATATTCCAAGGTATTATCAAAGGTATCTATCAAACCTGTGAGATGCCCCAGCAGTTTATCAAGGTGAAAGAACACTCGGCTGCCCTTCCAAAAACCGCTTTTGCCAGTTCCATGAAAACTCCAGACTGGGATTCATCTTCGAATTTATCAAACTCTGTGGGAGATATATGCAGGATATGCCATTGTGAAGCTGATGCAGATAATCCACTTTTGTCTCCTTGCTTCTGCTCTGGCAGTTTGAAGTATGTCCATCAGACATGCCTCAGACAGTGGTTAGCTGCCTCAGATACAAGATCATGTGAACTCTGCAAGTTCAATTTCATTTTACACACCAAAATCAAACCTTTTTCAGAGGTGAGTTGACAGACAACAGTTTTGAGATGTTCCCTAGTGAATTATTGTATGTTTTATAGTTGATAGTCTGATTTTCTATGTGATCAGCTCAATAAAGAATCTGATTCAATTTGAAAAAAATCAGATGTAAGTAACAAAAAATACTTGGGTTGATAGATCAGTCAGTCAGTTACAGTTTGTAACAAGGTTTGTAATAGCTGTACCCATCTAGAATTATAAACACCCTGTAATTTCTATTCTGATCAGATGATTTATTAACATGCTGAAACACCTGGGGTGAAAGCCTGATGATGTTCTTGCTGGTGTTCCAATTAATCCATAAATGGGTTTACCAAAAAGTCATCATTCATGTTTTGAGAGATAGATACTATATCACAAACAATTCTAACAAGTTTGTAAATTATTAATAAATTTTAATTTTAAAAGAATTTGTTCACATGAAGACATCATGGATAGAATATGTATGTTCTCAGGTAGTTTTTTCATATACCAATGTACCAATGAAAACATATTAATTTTGATCAAAAGTTGTATATGATTCCTTAGTGGAGGATCCTGGAGATGAGCAATGTGGAAAGAAGAAGATTGCTATGTGCCATAATGTTTCACTTTGTAGCAGCTGTCTGTGTTATTTGGTCCTTATTTGTTCTGATTGATAGGGCTGCAGAGGAAGTGAGGAAAGGGCTAATTGGTAAGATATTTCAAATAATAAAAGAGTTGGAGAAGACAAACTATCCTATAATTATAAAGTATCCAAAATCACTAGGTACATACCTACCTTTTATATGTAGGTATATCAGATAGTGAAATATTTGAATTTCTCATAAGAGTTTCTGATCCTTAGCCAAGATAGGTTTCTTATTATGTATTTTTATAGTATAACTTCTAATCAATATGGAACTGAATTTCAAGGCTACTTGTACATTCTTGTAAAACACTCACTATTCAATTCTTGAATATCTCCAACATCAAACAGATATGCAATATCCAATTCTTTATGGTAGACAAACCAGATAATTTTATTTTTTAGCATGGCCTTTTTGGACCAAACTTGTAGTAGTATCTGTTGGATCTACTGGTGGTGTTGTATTCATGTATATTCAGTGCAGACAGTACTTACACCTTTTTTCTAGATGGAAAGCACACAACCGGTGAGTATATTTATTCCTGAAATTATTCATTTTGTTATTGGAAAATATTAATTTCATACATTACTGCAAATTGTATCTCATTCACATTCAAACTACAGATTCTGGAGCCCATAATAATTATTGTTCATATTTTATGTTTTCTTCTCAAAAATGTCTAAATATCTTTTTACTAATGTATCAGTATTCAGTCATCTAGAATTTTCCACTGTGCACTAATGAATATGTTAATTAAGGTTGATCTAGATAGCTGACCTCCTATTGATCATATTTCAAAATTTCAAAAATACCTATTTCCAAGATATCTATACTTTTATTGCCTGTTTTTTATGTTTGGAGAGATATCTGAATTTATGAATCACATCTGGAGCCTCATATAACAATAAAATTATGACTTTATTGATATATATATACACATACATACATACAGGATAACTGGAAAAACAAGCACCATAACTAAAAACAGAATAAGATGACCCACTAATTTCAAATTTCTCAACTTCACAACTCACTGGCAAAAAAACCGGCCAGCAAAAAAATAGTCAAATTGACCGCCCTGTAACTTTTTTAATTCATGTCTGATTCTGGTTTTTCAGAAAAGCTGATGGCTTGATCATTATATAGGGAAAATCAGGAGTTAGTCTCACCCTTAACTTCTTAAAGCTTTGTGGCAAAGATGAGTGACTTAGCTTCTTAACAGGACGGTTTTTTATTGACGTCAATATTTTTTTTTCAAGGAGAGATACAGGTGTTTTAAGAAAGTTTGTAATTTCTCAATTTTTATTAACATATTTGAGAACCATTCTCCAACCTTTTGCATCATCATGTTTTTGTCCCTCCTCAACACAATGGTTCTTGAATCATAAGAAAAGGTACAAGTGTTTTAAGAAAGCATCGAATTTTTAAATTTTCATCAACAATAATTTAGAACCTATAGAGTATCTTTGGGATGAACTCCATAGGCTCAATCAAGCCTTCTTCCAGCCTTGTCAGAGACTCTTCAAGAGCTATGATTCACCCTTCAATAAGACTGGGGCAATTCCTCATAATCTCTTGAATGCTGTAATTCAAGCTTGAGGAGGGCATACTTGTTATTGACTACATCTAGGAGCTCTGCCTATCGTTTGTTTTTATTAATTAAGGTTTCTGAATGCAAAAAAAATAAGTGATCTCAATTTTTAGATGTTTTTTCCAAAATTAGTTTCATGTAGGTTCTGCAAATTAAAAAAATCCATACTTTCTTAAAACACTTGTATACTTTCTTAAAATGAAGATATTGACGTGAATCAAAAACCATTGTGTTACCAAGGCATCACACTTCAATTGAGAACATGATGAATCTAACTCTAATCACCCACTTTTGCCATGGGTGTTAAGAAGTTGAGCATGAATAAATAGTACCTTTTGTTTTGCCTTGTATAATGATGGACCCATCAGCTTTTGTGTGAATAAAAATTCAAGCATGAATCTAAGATTTGGTCGGAATTTCAGCAAAATCGGACACAAATTAAAAAAGTTACAGGACGTTCAATTTTGCAATTTTTTTTGGTGGCCGTTTTTTTGCCGACGAGTGTACAATACCTATCGGGAATATTCATAATCACTTGAACGTGTTACAGAAGAGTAATGAAAGGCATTTTTTTAGTATAATACTCGTTCAAAATGCACCCGAGAAACTACCCCCATCCCCTTCCCCATACTTTGAAAGGGATACCAGGCAGCCAGTTCCTACTCAAATAGTCACCATAGCTGAGTACAATCAGCCCTCTTCTGTGACCAATTCCAATTCACAAAATGACATGCAGATGTGTTATGTCTTTGAAAATGAATGTAAGGTATGTAGCATTATGAATATTTATGGAGGTTGTGATGAAGAAATGAAGAAATTAATTTTACACTTGACTGAATTTGTGTAGGTGTTGCTTTCAATCGTTTTCAAGACTCAAAAGTAAAGTGCTGAATGAGAGACTGAAAGAAAGCAAGGTTAAAAGGATTATTATTTGAAAAAAATAAAATAAACACTGAATCTTGACAATGTTCGTTTTATTCAATTGAAGTGCTAGTACCAAATATCTAATTTTGCAGCTTTTTCCGTTCTGATGTGAACTACATTTTTATATACCCAGTATTTCTTTCAGTTTCATTAGATTAGTTTTCTCATAGGAATGAAGCATTTTCCGCGGTAAAAAGTAGCTTGTGTTCAAGGATAATGTCTGCTTCTAATGCTGAAAGAATGGGGAAGACCACTGATTTTTTAAAACGACATCATCCTGAACTCTTCACTGAAAAACTACCAGTGAATTAATTTCGAATTATTCCATTCATGCTAGGACGATGAAAAAAATAAATTAGAATATGTCTATTTCAAAACACACAATTCCTGCGCCATTCGAAATGGTGTCAATTCATTGGTGTGACTGCTGCAACGTATTAGCCCCAACACGCCTATTGTCCTTGAGCTGACCAAGCCCACTGCAACACTGCAGAATGGCAAGGTATCAGAGAGAGATAGCTACAGTTCGGGACTAATACGTCACGGCTCCACCTTCATATTTGGCTTTGGGAAATATCAAATGAAATATTATGCTGATTTCAAAACGCTATAAAATTCGATTCCCTTCAACTTCAACTCATAATATTGATTGTACATCAAACGTAAATCATGATTCGTTTATTGAAAGAGGTTTGCACAGATTTCTTTCCTCAGTGGTCTTCCCCGGAGCCTATTCAATACAAACAAACAATCAAATCTTTCTTCTTCATAATATTAGTAAAGATGAATATTGGAGGGTTTCCTTGTTCTTTTTCATTTTTTCTCCACCCTATATCTCAAAAAAAAAAAACGTTAAAAAGTCTATGTTCCTGAAAGTGAAGATTTCAACACTGTATAATATTTCAGGTAAAATGTTGCAGCAGCAGTTCGTCTTCGGTACAGAAAGCCGACGTTCATGTTGAAGATTTGTGTGATACGCCAAAATTCGAATCAGATGCCCCAAATTCTATGGATATGTCTAGAAGTAACATTTTAGCTTTAGATATCGAGTGCCCTAATAGTAGCAGAAAAAAATATTCCCTGCAAAATTCTCTAAAGACTGATGTAGTAAGAAACAGAAGCTGTGTTTTCAAATCTTTGCCTAACTTGAGTACCAGTAGTGAAAACTTATTGTTGTAAATATATTTTATTATACTGTGAATTGCATAAACGATTACAATAAACTATTTATTATTTGAACACATTCTTGTTTCAATGTTCCTAGTTCTGGATATTGTTAAAAAAAAATTTCAACAATATTGTAATCTATATTCTTGAAGAGTTTGGCCTGGAGAAGACCAATAAGGTGTTGGTTTTTGGTCCTCATTTCTCGAAACAAATTCCATATCTCGGAAACCATTGAGAATTTAGATATACCACATCTTAGGTATTTTTTCGCGAGTTCCCGTTGATCAGCCACCGGTAACGGTTATACCCCCACCAAAAAATAAACCGAAGACGGTTCATCCTTTGATTTCTCACGAAAATGAACCGGTTAACCGTTCAGATTTCTGTCAGCTGGGATTTTAATTGATCATATCAACATGATATATGAACATAATAAATGGACAGTTGCATTTTGGTTGCATGATCGTTGGCTCCGGCCGCTCCGGTGGCTCAACAAAAATCATCTCAAAATGTTCCCAACAGTACTGTTAATGATTCATGATTTTTTTGATTCAACTTCGATCGTACCTGTCCCATCCCAATCAACTTTTCGAAGTACAATTGAAGACATGAGAATGATGAGTGGATAAGCGCCAAAAGTAAATTTCCGAGAAAATCAAGAAAAACGTGTGGAAATTAGAGAATTTCGTTTTTGGTATTCTTTTGCCACATGGTATATTAATCAACTAGTTTGACATAAGTCGGATAAGTAGAAATTGAAAAAAAGTCGAAAATAATATCAAAATTTTGAAAAAACTGTTTTACACTTATCCACGTATCATTCTCATTTTGCTGAAAAGGGGAAAATAATGCATTCTGAACACAAAAAGTCAGTTTATCAGCAGAACATTACATAAAAAGACAACTGGATTCAGATTGGAACTTGAAAAAAATAAAAACTACTTATTCCACATCTGAATCACCAGAATATGACTCCTCCGATATGTCTACTGGAACTTCATCATTAGTGGATATATTAGATGGAATATACTTTCCCAAGTCGATGTTATCCTGTAATTTTTTTGGATTGAGTGGTATTGGATTATCATATAGATTTGGCAGAGGTTGATATTAGAATGATTTTAAATCAACGCCATTCTTCAGAGCAACAAATGTTTGAGTTGCTATACAGTTTTGATTTTCTGAAACTGTTATCTTATCCCAGTATACTTGAATGTTTTATATTTTGAGATTTAAAATGCTCCATCTTCATTTCGGAAAGTCTTCTTGAAATAGTCGTCTATTGTTTCTTTATAGTTTTCGACCATTGCTTGAGTTATATTAACTACCTGAAAATTTTTTGAGGCATATTTGCACCAAGTTAACGCCACTTTTCTGGAATGAAAAGGTATTCTCTTTTTTTTTAGTACAAATTATAATCAGTTCTACCAACCTTGAAGCAGATAAATCTTCCTGCCATCTCCTGGCGAATGGGGCAAGGTTACATGTTTCCTTTTCATTTCCAACGATAGAGCGATTTTTTATTAAAGAAGATCTGACAAAAAGTGAATTCCACCAAAAATGGTTGTTATCCACTTATATCATTCTCATGTCTTCAATTATAAAGCCACGATTTTCAGAAAGTTATTTTCATCCTAGAGTGAATCATATGGACTGGATAAATAAATATAATGATGTGGTATTTTTTCAGCTATTTCGAATAAAAAGAACAATTTTTTCAACGTTATTGACTGTTCAAGTTGGTGTTATTCTTCCATTTCTTGATTTGAAAAGTGAGTATAGTATAGGTATCTCAAAAGTAGTTTGAATAATTATAAATATGTTTACTTCTAATGATAACAATACTTTGAAAACAATGATACAATGTCACTTGTCAATTACTATAACCGCCAGTATGATGCGGAATCTAAAAAACAGTTCCCGTTTTAAAAATTGTGACGTCACTGATGCCGTCATCATCATACTCTCCCATTACCGTTATGACGCGAAAATGCAACAGGAACTGAATATCAGTTCTCGGTAAATCAACAGGATCTCGCGAAAAAATACCTAACTTGTAATCGTGTCCCACTAACATCAGAATAAAAATTTTGGAAAACATTGAATTATTGAAGGAAGATGCATTGATTATTTTAGAAAAATAATTCAATCACAAAGTTTATAGAGTTTGACTTAGAGAAGATGAAAGAATCGTTGGTTTTACTTGGAAGATCCAATTTTTGAAATTTTTCATAAAAGTATCTTGTTATAATAAATGAATAAAACAAAAACTTTCATATTTTACAATATATTTCCATAAAAGAATGGCTACTTATGATCAATTAAAATACAAAAACACTTATGAAGCATAATATCTAAGTAACTCCTCATCTTGAGGTTTCAATATAACTTTATCCTTAAGATTCACTATCCACCCAGGGTGTAACCCATAGAAGATCTGTCTGGGGTCCTTTTTCTCAACTAACATTTCATAGTTTGGATCATCCTCAATCTTTGGTAAGCTGTAACCAAATTTTTGTGCAAGTACTAGGCGTTCCTCAGATATTTTCTCTGGATCAGCCAGATAGCCTCTTTTGGATGGATCAGAATAATATTCCATGGCATCAGGGGGCGGCATCATCCTTCTGGGTATTGGAACACCTTGATAAGAATTATAGCCTCACATCATTATTCACTACCACAGTCATTTGACATTTGATTGTCCATGAACAGTAAGAAAAATATAGGTGAACCTATATAAAGACTTAGTACTGTTAGTAAATTAGCTCTGACTAAATAAAAAAGTAAATTGGCACTTTACTGGCTAGAAATTCGATAGGGACAGTAAAATACCTGATTTACTGAGTTACAGAAGAAGATGGTAATAAATCTACAACTTCACTGCCTAGTTGACAAATTTACATATTCTACTGATGTTTAGAGATAGTAACTTTTCAATGGTTTCCTCTTTTTTCAATGGTGAAATCAAAACAAATCTTTCTGCAACTATTCTTTGTGATGATTTTCAATAAAACCAAGCTGACATGTCAGTTTTCTAGAAGTTCTAGGACAAGAACGTGTTTTTAAGATACAGATGCTATGCTGCATAGGAACAATGGAAATGTCATAATCAAATTTGATGAAATTTGAAAATGATTTTTGCTATTGCAGAAAAAAAATTGATTGGAAGTGGCCAATTTGGAATTTTGGTAACATGAATGTTCTTCAATGACAAATGAAATGAACTAATATGCAAATTCTATAAATTTCTTTGGGTTAATATTATTTTTTATCAAACCTGACTATGGCAGAACACAAATTATGATTTGACCCAGATAAACACATACATAACATTAAATAAAATTAAAAGAAAATGGGATTTCATATGCAACTGGTAGTCTAACTAAATACAAATAATACTTATACCAGAGTTGCATTAACATTCACTCAGGCATGAATTCAGCACTCACCCCTTTCAAAGAACTTCTTGACATTCACCATAGCTTGCAGACTGTGTGGATCATAATACGCTGTACTAATAACTCCACCTGCTTTCTCTACTGCTGCAATAACCAATTCATTGGCCCACTGTACTTCCAGGTTGATTTTTGCACAAAAAATATCTGCACCTTCATCAGTCAATTGAACACCAAACTGTCTCTGGTCTGGAAAAAGCCTGTACAAACCAGTGTTCATGATTGCTACTAAATCTATGGGTTTTGACGTGTCAATTCTGTTTGTATCAATGAGTTTCTGTAGATCCAACATTGATAAAGGAGGGTACTGTCTTCGCAGGCTAAAAATAATGAGAAACAGAATATTAATAAATGGTTCCTACATCTCAGGATACTAATTATAACATTATTTTGATAATCATGGTGCTTACTGGTGGCCTCTATAGTAGGGCTCCCATGGGAACCGAAGGTAGAAAGGATTGTTTCCAGTTTCATAACCTAACCTCATGAAATTCTGTCGTTGGCCAGAGCCTTTGTTACCAGCTCCATGATAGTCTCCTCCGTGTTGTGCTCTACCTCTAGATCTTTTCTGGAACAGATAATAAGAAATTGGAAAATAAAATCACAAGTAATAATTAGGACTGCTCTCACCTTACCAGATCCAGGATTGTCTCTGATGTTGGCTAAACATACTCTAGGTAGATGCCGCATCAAATTGAGAGCCTTGTCTGTTGTTTTAGACATTGCTTTTTCAGCTGCGGATTCCTGAAAGTTCAATTATTATATATATCATCAAATAAAAGATTACAATTTCCGAAAACAATTTAGAGGTTATTTGCAGCTTACTCAAGACTCAAGTTCGTTTTCATTTATACTTGTTGGCTCCTGCTATAATGGCTAGCCGGCCATTCTACTTCTCTTTTCATCATTCATTTGAACTACCAGTAGTTCAAATTGCCGGTAGGGCGTAGTAGAGGCAAAATAAATGGCGCGAATCGAATATCGTGCTTACAGGGTGATTCACGAAGGTGTCCGTATCGTCGATTTCCTCACTATAATTATTATATTACGACACATTATATAATGAATCGATAAAGAGAGTGCTTCATTGAGAGAAATTAATGATACTGAACAAACAATTAACAGTTAGATAATTTGTTTCCAAAACCTGATTTGTTGTATTGTACATAAATTGAATGCGTATTATCGTTCTCAAAGTTGAAAAACCCTGTAACTCTATGTTGGGTATGATGAAAATAATCTATTTCAAATTATATTCTGCAAAAAATGTGAATCATATGATATGATGATGTTAATTCAATTTATTCACTTCCTCTACCTTTATTACCTGCTTATTATATCCTATATAGTTCCTGTAAAATTAAAATCACAAAATTGCTTGCCGATTCACTTTATTCAGTTACAAAACGATCGAATATAGGTATTCAATATAATTTGTGCCTATAGCATTCATAGCATTCAACAATAATTATCATTAGCTACAAATTACATTATCGATATTAACGATCAATTTCAAGATATTTGGATATATATATATACTGCAGCGATATGATGCAATAATCACATGAAAATGATTATATATAGGACCTACACAACTTATTAGGGTTTTGATCTGAAAATAGTATATCTTGCAATTTTTATTGCGTTTGTCAATTCAGAATATTGATGAACATTACAAAATGATATTTTCTGATGTATTATATTAAATAATATATAAGTAAGATTAAACTAACCTGGAACATGTATCAGTTTGAAAAATAGGTAGATATAGATACCCTATATGGGTACACTTTTACAATAATCATATCACATACAGGGTGATTAATCAAGAATGGGAAATCTCTAAACACATATATAGTGAATACTAAAACATTATAAGATTCAGCATATTATGTCTGTTAAGGATGTTGCCGGTTTTAGATTTGATTTCAAAATTTCTCTATAACTTTTCAAGTTTCCACAGCATGAACATGGAATTTTGTAGTTTCAGGTTTTCTGACATGAGAAGTATGAATTTGCAACTCATTTTGTGATTGCTCATAGAGGGCGCTAGTAACACTGTGTTACTTTGGAAAATTACATCATATCTTCTTTGTCCATTTGAATATTATCAGAATAAATGAAAAATCTGAAAGCCCGTTCAATTTCGCATGAAAAATGTACTCTTTTTCTAATTGTCCAGCTCCAACCGGTGTTGTGTTATTGAGTTAATGAAAATTTTTAAATATATTTCAGTGTTTAGGTATTATCTATGTATCATCTCTGTATCTACGAGATTTCCCATTCTTTTGATGAATCACCCTGTATATTGATATATAATAGTAACCTACAAATCATTGATAATGTTTCATACATCATAACTACAAAAATGTTAATTATTCTAATTAAAATATTGGTTTAAATAATTGTTGTTTCTATCCTCAATAAACAATAACAATTAATATGTGTTGAAAACTGTTTTCACTCAAGTTTTCGTCACTTATTAGTTCTCTTAACAGATACTTTGATTGCTCATAGGAACAGGAAAATCTACACTAGATAAAAGGTTTCCAAAATTTTCTAGCCAAGTATTAGAAAAACATGTTTCACGTTCTATATCTTTCTGGAGGAGGATCAGAAGTACCGAATTCAAATAGAGAATCTGAAAATCCGAAAAATTCCCATTCAAAAATGTCATGATTCAATCAGCATTTATTTGATGATGATGATAAGAGTTATATGTCAAGGTGATGAATTTGCAATAACCAAATTGGACAACTAATTTTAACAGTATAAGACCACTTATATATAGTGAGGGGTTAAAAAATGACACATTATTAAAGATTTCAAATATCGTAATTCATTACAAATTCACAAACCTATAATCAACAATTCTCAGCATACTTGGACTGTGATAAAGAAGCAAGATTACAAGTCCTAGAGTTTTATTAATTCTTTGATTATTTTCCATGGAAACCCCTTTGTTTGAATGCTTTTGACTTATCAAATTCGAAGAATGAATTATTTTAATCGAAAAGATTAGTTTTTTCATCATTTTGAAAGAAAAACAATCAACTCATGATTGAAATCACTTAGATTTTTGACATGTGAAAAAATTATCAAAGGTGATACAGTAGTCCGAGTCATGAAAGTTGAATTTTGCCGATAGAATATAAACGAGTTGTATTTAAAAAGATTATTTTTTCAACTAGTTTGTGTTACTATATAGTTTCGACTGTTCTATGAAAACGAGGTTCATCATCGAGGACGAACAATTGACTAAAACTACACATTGCTATTGGTTGAGATAACCAAAACCTTACATTTTTACAGATAACAAAAAAAAACCGTCAAAAACAAACTCCTGAATGAATGAATTCCTCCAGATTCAGTCATAAAAAATGAATAAGCACCTCCTATAGTGGCAGGTTCAGTATAATAAAATTCTTTTTTCGACGGCCTTTCGACAGATGGGACACTCGCTCATTTGGTCGCCGCACATTTGACAGAGGCCGTGTCCGCAGAGGAAGATCATGTTCTTCAGTCTGTCCAAGCAGACAGGACACATGGTCTGGAAAAAAATCATTACAAGTCAATAAAGGGCTATAAGAAACGGTGAATTTTTTAAAAATCATTCTTTATTTTTCTAGATTTTCTGCAACTTTCTTTCCTTGTTTCGATTTTTTTCGAGAAAATTGGGTTTTGATATTGAAATAGTAACTGAAAATTTTAGGGCCGGTTGCATGATCAGGAATCAACTCACTTGACTCATCAGCTAAAGAATTTATATATTCATTTATTCATTCACGTTACAAAAAATCAATTTCATTCGTGATTTGTCAGCAATACATGTAAAAGGGAATAGTAAAAAAAATACAAAAACAATACAAAATTACACTTCAAAATTATGATGGATGAAGCCTGGTCGCGATTTTACTAAATATAAACTATTGCAGCACAAGACACGCCCCCTACTACGGCATTGCAAAATATAATCGAGCCCAGCACAATCCTGCAAAATCTAATCTTTGACAGCACAACGTAGCTGATTCATATAAATAAATCGATTGAAAAAGTAGCACATACCACGTTATATCTCATCTTCAAAGTACTTTACTTAGGCAAAACTCAGAGACTATTTATCCTCAACGAACTAACCTATCCCTGATTGCAATATTTTTGAGGAAGGAAAACCGAATGGAGTGTAGAAACACATTGATTAATAATATATTTCAAAAGTTGAGTTCTTCAACAAAATTGAATGAAATGAGACTGTTTATCCTAAACGCACTAACCTATTTGACTTCAAATATTTTATGAAAAAGGAAAACCAGAATGAAGTAAAAAAACATTGGTGAAAAAAAAAAGTTGCAAAAAAAAGTTCGAGTTCACAGCGATTCGAACCATGAACCTTCAGACTGAAAGTCGACAGCGCTAACCAGTAGACCATTTGGGTGTATGAATTTACTGCGTACAAGAGATTGACAACGAGAAAGCTTCAGTTCTTGCGTTGGAGCACAGTATGAGATATGACGTATTATGGTGGGCGTGGTTTGTGCTAGCGTGCAGTATATTTAGGAAAATCGCAGCCTGGTCTCCAGTGATATAGGTGGGAATTTAGTGTGTGGAAGTTAATATGCTATACTGATTTTGGTTTTTCACATCTTCCTAATGATATGATCGTTGTCTCTATTCTTATTATTTATTAATTCATTTTATTTGCTTTAGTAAAGTCTACCTCAGCCTCCATGTACTCCCTCTCCGAATAGAAGCAGTGGGATAACAAAAACTTTCGGATTGTTCTTTTCAATATATGTATAGATGTTTCCTTAATATTTGCAGGAAGTTTATTATAAAGCTTAACATCTGTGGAGTTACGTTTTGATATCATTGAACGGTGTTTAGTTGTACGAAACAGATCACAATTTCTTGTTGTATAATTATGAAATGCATTATTTGTTTGATAATTATTTTTGTTTTCATGAATTTCCAGCAAACAATTAAGAATGGTAGAGGAAGTATTTCCTGATTTTTGAATAATGGACGACAACTCTAACGAATCATTAACCAAACAAGAATTACATCGCGATATTGTACCTGTTCTTTGATATCCTGCAGCTGCTGCTGCAACTTCTGAATATCGCTCGAACTCGTCGTATCCCTGCCGCCGTTGTTCAGCAGCTGCCCCTGCAGCCCCGCCCCCGCCTCGCTGGTCGACGGTTTCGTCTCCTCCTCCTCCGCCACGTCTGCCTCCACCTCGCAGACGGTGCCTGCCCCTCCCGAGCACACGCCCATGGGCACCATACGCTCGATCTGGGAGCGGCAAGTAACGCACTTCTTCATCAGCTGAGAGCAGCATTCGCATGCGCACATGTGGCCGCACGGTTTGAACAGGACGGAGGCTTTCTTGTCGGAACATACCAGGCATTCTTCGATCTGAAAATGCAAAGGTTTTATTTGAAAAGATCCGGCTCGGAGGACCAAGGTGTTCTGTGCTTGATAGATAGTGGACTGTATTTGTATGGATATGAATATGAAATAGAGATTGATATGAGAATTGCAAAAAGGGATGGTACCCGGACTGCCCGAGCACATATGGCCGCACGGTTTAAACAGGACGGAGGATTTCTTGTCGGAACATACCAGGCATTCTTCGATCTGAAAATGCAAAGGTTTTATTTGAAAAGATCCGGCTCGGAGGACCAAGGTGTTCTGTGCTTGATAGATAGTGGACTGTATTTGTATGGATATGAATATGAAATAGAGATTGATATGAGAATTGCAAAAAGGGATGGTACCCGGACTGCCCGAGCACATATGGCCGCACGGTTTAAACAGGACGAAGGATTTCTTGTCGGAACATACCAGGCATTCTTCGATCTGAAAATGCAAAGGTTTTATTTGAAAAGATCCGGCTCGGAGGACCAAGGTGTTCTGTGCTTGATAGATAGTGGACTGTATTTGTATGGATATGAACATGAAATAGAGATTGATATGAGAATTGCAAAAAGGGATGGTACCCGGCCTGCCCGAGCACATATGGCCGCACGGTTTAAACAGGACGGAGGATTTCTTGTCGGAACATGCCAGTCATATTCTTCGATCTAGAAGGAATAACATAAACATGCAGCCTTGAAGGTTCGATTTGAAAAAATCCGGTTCGAAGGACCATGGGCTCGATCTGGAAATGACACGTGACGCACTTCTTCATCAGCTGGGCTTTGTTTCCGATATACAGGGTATCAAAGTTTAAGATTTTTTTTGTGTTTTTCAAGTTTTTTCCTACATTTGTCAAAATAATGAATTGTGAATTTGGTACACCTGGTACATTTTGGGAACCCAATATTTGAGACTATCTCGCGTTCTTGAATACCTATAGGATGATACACTTTTGGGGTCGTGCAAACTTCGAAACACTGAATATCGGAAACGAAGTTTCCACGCATATGTTTATAGAAGATTTTCATTCATCTTGAAAAAATGCCTTCTATGAACTGTTGAAGTCCTGCTAGTAAAAACTGACTCACCCGATATACTCTGAATAATGGTAAGGAACAACAATGACCGTTGTAAGCCTTTAATGGAACGTTCCTGATACTCGTTTGACAAAATTAAGTTTTCTATTCGCGAGATTCAAGAAGTAGGCGACATATCTAGTATCTAGGTAACATAATACGAACTTCAAACTGGGGGAAAACAATCTGGTGTCTATGGATAAAGTGCATAGACTACATTGATAGTTCAAACAATTCAAACTAATTATGACGAGCAAATCAATTGACATATAAAAGGACAGCTACGTCCTGCTTTGCATGAACAAATACAAATCCATTGTTCTACAGGAGTTCCTCTGGACCCTAACTTCAATTTTACTTCATGTGGGGAAGATTTCATCGCAGAAGTTTGTAGACAAAGTGCAAAAATGTGCCTTTTGTTGAAGTCTTCTGCCTCACACAAAATCACATGATTGGCACGAGAACTGCTTCTCCTTCCACTACTGGTCGGCTTTTCCGTCTAAATAGAGCAAAATATCTGTCAAAAGAACATCTACAACATGCATTATTAGCGTTGATCGAATATTGAAAATTAATGCCAAGAAATTTGAAAACTCATCACTCTTATAAGTACACAAGCTAATGGCACTAATGGGATTGAGTGAGGATTGAGTTTGTTTTCCCCCAGTTTTGACGTGGTTTTGACATGGGACTATGAAAACCGAGCGTCACCGAGATAACTGTGTTATGGGCAAGCGTTGTTGCCCCACCCACTCGAGTATGGCATGTGTGGCAAACGATAATACCTGCGGTCGGACCGAACAAATGGCTCGCTCTTCGTTAAACTGCCCATGCACAGAATGCACATGGTTTCCTTATAAAAAAAATATTTTTGTTGGGCGTGTATACTCGCCTACCAGCTCCTCCTATCAAATTTTCAATGAATCATCTCTCACCTTGACTCTGCTGACCACCGACTCCCTGCAAATCAGGCACTTCTTGACGCGAGGCGCGCATCCCGTGCAGCAAGCCACATGCCCGCACGGCTGGAACAGCGCCTCCCTCTTGGCGTCCGAGCACACCAGGCACTCCTCCAGCGTGCCTCCGCCCCCTACGTCCTCCCCCTCTCCCTCATCCTCCTCCTCTCGAGTGTTCTGGTGCGGGCCCATGTCCATCTCGCCGCTCTGCTTGTCCTTGTGGCATTTGGCGAGGGTCTTGCAGAGGTTCGGATCGGGACAGAGGTCCAGCGGCGTTTGGCCCTTCTTGTTCTTGATGGTGAGGTCAGCGCCATTGCCTAAGAAGAGAGCAATTTCAGTAGGTATGTCCAGGACCCACCAGGGCTGCCTTTGCCCTGATATAGGAAAACATCTCATCTCTACATTGGACATCAACCCCTCAGTTACTTTCAACTCTATTCCACAAGAAAGAAGAAAAAAAATTAAGATTGTGATGAGGAGTACCATCAAGCATTGTGCATACCGCAAAAAGCACGAATCAGGCTTATAAGGAGTGTTGCAGACTATTAGTAGATAGGGCACTCTGGGAATGACCTCCGACATAATGCCTCAAACGACTTATGCACTGCTTTATACCGCCCTACATCTGAATAGAGATGACTGGTTCCTCCTACTACTAAGAGCCGATAACTGTTGATTCACAGATGGTTCAAGAACGCCCTAAGGCTCTGGTGTAGGTCTGTACGGTCGCAGACAGCCGTATTCCAGGCGAAAATTCACGCCATTGAGTAATGTGTAGAGAGACTGGAGGAAATCAAACTCACGTATAAAACAAGTAAAATATTATTCTAGAATAGCCAAGCGGCTCTGAAACCACTCAACTCGTACCGATCATTATCTTTAAATTGGAATTGAACTGCCAAAAAATACTCTCCACAATAGGATGACTTAACAAATTGTCTGATCTGAATTCTTGGTCACTGCGGCTTCATTGACAGGTGGAATATGAATTGGTGTAAGACAAAATGGACACTTAAGGGTCGCAGAGGAGGAATGAATAAACCAACTCACTCTGAACCTAACCTAACCATCAAGCAGATGGGAATACTTATGTAAGTCAAAAAAATTCACAAAAGGTAAGTATTAGAGCGCAAATGTCTGAAAGAGTCGTTACAGAAATAAACCTCTACTAGGTGGTCTTTTCAGGCAGAACTCAGTCAGCCAACAGATATACAGTCATCGTTCTATGTTCCGGGATATTCCGGAGTAGAAGAAAATGAAGCAGCGGACTGTATCAGAAGAATTTGGAGAAATCAAGCAAGAAGAAGTTATACAGGCAGTAGACATCTGGAAAAATCTCCAAGGTGTCAGACAGGATACATATAACCAGAAGAAATCGGAGGCATATATGTCAGTCAAAGCAAAAATAAACTCCGTATACCAACGTGAGTCCAAAGAGGGCACTGCCGGTTGGAAGGGGAAGCTAGGCTTAGAAAAAGTTATACAGATGTAGGTTCAGCGGGTGAGAGAAGGAAACCTCTATCCACATACTTACGGAATGTTTCACCCTACAGAACCCAAAGGCAAGAAACTTAGAAGTACACATAATAGAGGAAGAGGAGCTATCCTACCTGGAACCACCTCATATACTGACATTTCTAAATGAAAATAGGACTAGAAAAATTGCTATGGCTACGGAGAACAACCTCATCGGGTATGGCAAAAGAAGGGGACCCAAGAGACGTTTTAGGTCGTAGTGTATTCACCCCTTATGCACACATTACGATACAACAGGTAGAACCATCTACAGATGGGTGACAGTGAACATTTTTGTGATTGTCGGTGTACAGTTTTTTTCCTTACCAGCTAGGAAGCAGGCGATGCTAGCCGAGGATTTCTTGTCGGAACCCTGGGTGCCGAGGCCCATCAGCAGTTTCCCCACGTCCTGCACGTCTTGCAGCTGACGCAGCTGCGACAGCGTGTGGTGGCGCAGAGCTTCGTGTAGCGGCGTGTCGCCATCTTTGTCGGCGATATTGAGGTTTGCGCCCTCTCTGACTAACAACTGGAAATGATGAAAAGAATCTCAAAGATACTTATGGCATATATGTTATGTGATTTATTTGAACCAAGTTAACTGTGTAAGTGTTGCTCTGGGAGCGTGGAATAGCAATCAGTGAAACATTGTGTGTTGAGGTTAATTAAAATAAGAATCTTGTAGTTACAATTCTAAGGAACTATCATATACTGAGCTGCTAGTTGCACATTCTTGATACCACTCGAAGTGGCGAGGCATGTTATGAAAAAAATGTTTTTCACAACCTCCTTCACCGATTCACTACCACATACTTGTCTTTCAGTAGGTATTCCAACTTGACGCATTAACACAATTTTTAAATATGGACTTTGTCCCTCTTCTGCCCAGGGCATTTAGACCATTGGCAGTTTTATATAAAGTTAAAATTTCCCTATCATTGTCCCATCTTTTACGATGATCGAATATCGTAATAGCCAGTGGAATATTGAATACGGAATGCATGAAGGGCAATACAACATATTCATTCAAATACTATTTTCGTTGGTTCTAGGTTATAACTTATGAACTAAAGTTCTTTTTTGATAGTTTTTATCAGTATCAGTATTTCGTTTCGCGCCCCATTTGAATGATAGTAGTAAAATGATCCCCAACTAACGTCAAAATTACTATAGGTGAGTAGCAATCTTACTGTTAGCCTCCAACCAATCCCATGAATTCAATGCCAAGTACTACCCACACCACGCCCCACTTCTGAGAACCCGCCCAGGCTTTGATTATAGTAGTGGGGGGATTCCTTAACTGCCGTCGCGACTACTATAAGTTCCTATCAGCATCTATTAGCATCAACTCGGTATGCATACTCACTCTAACAATCTGTGTGTGCTGCCGTTCGACAGCAAGATGTAGGGCAGTTTGCAGATTGACGTTCTGCAGATCCATGTTAGCTTTGCCATTCAATACGAGCTGCTCGGCAACTTCGACGTGGTTATTGAGGGCAGCCAAGTGCAGGGCGGTGTAGCCGTCGTCTTTTTTCTCGTCCACTATCCAAGGTCTGGGTAGTTTGGCCAAAAGAATCTTCATTGCACTGAAAAGGAAAATAGTAGATATTAATTATGGTATATGTTCATTAGCGATGAAACTATACAGAAGACGAGTAAGCGTGAAGTGGTACGGGAGTATTGGCCTATACTTCATCTACAACTCAACCCTTGGCATAGGAGTTGACACATATATCTTCAGTATATTAGAGATCATACAGGGAGCAGCAAGAAGTGATTTAGTTTTTTACAAGATGATCCAACAAGACGTGTAACACGGACATCTAGTATATAAGAAGTATTAGAGTTGTGGAATAAGAGAAGTATATTTCAGAGTGTATATAAAATTTCACAATATTTATTCACCCACCATACACCAAATACAGTTTTTTATGAGCATCTATATCTTGAAAAATGGTTTTATTAGTGAATTCCCCATATCATCCACTGTATAAGAAGGGCCATTCTGCGAAATATATCAGGATACTCTATGAAATAAACGAGCCCTTTTAAGGTCGTTGATCTTTGGGGAAGGCAATAGGCCGCCATGCAATATCTTCAGCACGTTTAAGCTTTCAGTGACGTATCAATGTTCAGGGTATTGGGTATTTGCTCTCTTCATTCAATTTGTACTTATTTGGTATTATTTCGATCATAGATTCATTCCAAATTTTTTGGTCTAAATTTTAATATATAGCAACAAAGAAATGATTAAGTTTGAGTAATTTTTGTTTCCATTTGCTTTACTTATTACTATAATTATGCAAGTAGGTATCAAATAGCTGAAGTATGGTGGTAATTTTGAATGTAAAAATGGTGGTGATAAGAAGACACAATTGCATTAGGGCATTACATATCACAACTTGTGATTATGAAATCTCACCAATATTTGGACAGTAGAGATAAATGTAAGCGATATTGAAACGAAATTTAGAAGAGCATTTAATGGAACCAAATAATCATTCAAAATCTGGTTGGTCAAAAAAACAGAAGTTAATTTTTGGTTGTCTATACGAACTAGGCCTTCTACGTCACTGAAAAGTCCTACTTCCATTCTGTGCTGACATTTTGTTCGGCCCATAAATACCGTGACATTGATTCCAAAACCTTTTGTTTTATTGTTCCACAAATAATAGGGAAAGAAGAATATGAATATCTGCTTAGTCAACGAATACATATTTTTCAACCACTAGCTCCAAACGAGATATCAAATTTTGCATGTCATCTACAATAAGAGCTGAATTGATCGTTTTTCTTAATTTGTTCAAATCTATGGTTCAAGTAAATTATTCTCCCGGATCACACAAAGGTATCGTATACAGTGTGTCCCGCTTTTCATGAATACACCCTGATATATCAGTTATTAATGATACTATTCTCTTGACATTTTAGTGGTGATTGTATGTTAGAACAATGTAGTATTTAGCAGAGTGAAAAGGCCATTATTCGGAGAAAGGATATTAGGGCTCATTTCAGAATCAGCATCTCCAAAAACCCAACAATTCATATTTTCGAAATCTCAAAAAGAATTCAAAATCCCGCTTTTCATGACTATTCACTATGGTGATTGTATGTTAGTTTTCTTACGTACAATCACTATCAAAATTTCAAGAAAATCGCATCGTTGATAACTGCGATATTTGAGGATGTTGTTATGAAGAGCGGGATTTTGAAATATTTTATTTCAGCTCTTGGGATCTTGAAAATATGAAGTGGGTGGTTTTTGAACGTATTTGAAAGAAATTTGAACTCATTCTTTGAATCTATCAAATCTTAAGAATGAATTAATAGATAGATCAATGATCAGAAACTTTATTGCCTGTGCTAGAGTTTAATATATGGTATGTTTAGGCAATATATCATGTAGAGTGCGTATCAAAATAATTGAGCTTTAATGGACGACAGGGTTGCACTCTAAGGATGTATAGTGAAAACATAGATCTGTGAAATACTCGTTCCTATATAAGGAGGAACACCCAACAATTCCAGAAGTTGGGTATCGAAAAAAATGAACAATAACCCTTGGAAAATGTTTATATTTATTTCTATAACAATCAATCTTCCATAGCACACTTTTTTTCAACAGAGAATTCTGTAAACTTTTCTTTTTATAATAATGTTCTATTACGAGGGGGATGCAATAAATTATAATTTCATAAAATCCTAATTGTATTAGTACCTACCAAAGTTTACCTAGATTGTGGATAGAAAATACGAAAAAAGTTCACCTTTAAAATGAAATAGTTGCATGGGTACACAACCGAACAAATCATTATTCAACTAGGAAAAAGCCAAAATACTCAAAGTGGAATAAAATTGTTACGCAGAGGGAGAAAGTCATTATACCAGACTAGTTCATCAAATGAATGAAAATTATAGATAACGAGAAAAACAACAACTTTCCTGGTTATATACCACGCGGAACATTGAATTACATCCTTCTATGCAACGATTCGTGAAGATGAATACGCCCTAGACGGCGTTGTGACCATTCCGCAGTGGTTGACCGCCTCGTGGGTATTAAAAATGCTGAGAAGTGTATACGTTGGGTCAGGGTCACAACAGATGGCGGTCATGAATGCCATCTGGGGACACCCAGACTATTAACCCTATGCCTCTGGAGTAATAGTTCGTGCGCAGTGCCCATTGTAAGATACACGTCATTATATTAAAAGGAGAGGTACTTCAAAAATCGTCTTTGTACAGATTCTACTAAATCAATATAAAAGTACCAAGTATAGTGGCAAGCAAACTGTAAAAGCATATTCTATTTAGACCTTATAACTGTGTGAAGGAGAGTTGTTAACGTTGAAACTTGGTGAAATTATCATTATATCATGATGTTGGTCTAAATTGCCAAATCCATTGCGAAAAACGGAATGCATTTTCCGAATACAACCCTGTCGTTCGATAGAGATAGCCGATGATTATTCGGTAGGCAAAGGCTAGACATCAGACATACTAATGGTATTACTCAAGTGGGAGAGCCACTGATGATGTATAACAAACAATATGAACTCTTGTTCTTATAGATCCAATGCTCGGTTCAGATTTTTACTCAGCCCATAGGCGTCCTGAAAAAAAATATGGAAACGCCATCTGTGCAATTGGATGATGTTCAATAATTAATGACAGGTTTTCGTTATTGACTGGGTTAAAAAAAATCGACAAAAAACGAACGCAAACAATGCAATATCTTTCGTCGTTCGCCATCGAAAGATGAGTCATCAATCATCATTCGCACGCAGCTTTCCGACTCAAACGATGAAATAAATTGATGGTTATAAACGGAACAAAAATGTGAATGTTTACTCATGGGGCCTGGATTCGTCAATATATGAACGTGTATGATTAGAGTATATGCTGAATAAACAAGCTTTATTAGCAAAAATAACAAAATGCAAATATTTTCCATAATTTCAATGTGTTTCTCCAGTGGATACATACAGGGTGTTTCCGAAATTGGGGCAATAAATGAAATGGATGATGGAAGACAAAAAAACAAAATGAATATTTTGGAAGATATTGAAATATTGTAAATCATTGATCAGCGGTTAATAGCCCAACCCAAGCGTTTTCTTTCGGCGAGATCACAAGCACCAGAAGTAGGTACCAAGGACTTTTGCAATGTTGCCGGACGCTGAATAATAGATAATAGATGTGAGTTGTATGGTAGAGAGCTCATTTTTTGAAAGATCCTTAAATTTTTTTTTCTGAATTATATTGTCATCATGAATACCATATTTTTAATTATTCGCCTTCAGAATATTCCAAACAATGTGTCACAGACTATCGACTGAAATTCTCTTCAAGGTTCTACTACAGTGAAATTTCAAATGCATTGACATTTTGAGGCAAATCATCTGATTTGTTCTCAACAGAGATACCTATATTGAAATGATACTTATATTTTCATTGATAGAGAAGACGTGAGAACATACCAAAATTTTTGAGAGATAAAAATGTTATCTCATCGATCAAGCGACAGACAGTATTGATCGAATTGAGAGTTTTTGAAATATGGATATTTTAGATTTCTTCACATATTCGAGAATAACGAATGAAATACAGATCAAGCAAGCATGTGAATCTTGAAGGCTTCCCTGAAGAAATGCCCAATCTGCCGAAATCGGAAACAATTCAGGTATGCGTACCAACCCAAATAACCCACCGTAAAAATGTTCTTCTTCTTGATGACATCTATTACATCTTTATCAGTTCCCAGGAGCTAAAGTTCAACTTTAGCTCCTAGGAACTAAAAGTGTTGCCTAGCAACATACCTATATGTTTGTGTCAGTAATAGAAACGTCATTTCAAGGGCTGATTTTGATATTACAATGGATGACTTTTGTGTCGGTTCCAGAAAAATGAATTTATTCAGTACTTTACAAGATCATTATATATAAAAATTGTGATCTTGTTCCCGTGACCCCCACTGCCGCTAGGGCTGGATTTGCCCTTGAATTAGATATACCATTTTGAACTGCGAGACGTAAAAAAAACTAATTTTCTCTGGTACGCCACTGGCCCACATAAATGTTTTTAATTGGAGCTGTACGGAATACACACAGACAGACAGTATTCGCTTATTTAGTAGAGGTCTTGTAACACACTACTAATTATTCGAGAGTGAAAATGTGGGTTCCTGGTTCTCCAGATTTAGTAATTATTTCGACACAAACATTGTGGTTCGTTTGCAAGTTTTGAGTGCACTAGAATACGTAATCGACTATTCGAAGACAAAAAAAACTAATAAATTGTGTACTTAGTCATTGTTCGTGACGAAAAATGAATGCATATTTTCTTTTCATTTATTCCGCTGGTTGATGAACTGTGAGGATTTGAATAATGGAATAGTTATTGTGATTAAAAAGAAGTGCCGTCTATTCGCTCATTAAAATGCATATTTTCGTAAGTAAAGTACAATATCAAACTACCCGAGTACCCACTCAGTTAGGACCACTTTATGAAAAACTTTATGACTTAAGATTTATCACCTAAAATTTAAGGCTTATGACTTATGACAGATGGAACATGGAAATATCATTG